GAGGCTAGAGGCAGAGCAGCAGCCGTGCTGAGGCACAGTGGAGGTGGAGCTGGAGCCGTCCAGAGCTGGATATGATGAGCAGCTGGGGAGAGTGAGGGGGGATCCTGGGCAGCGGGCCCAGCATAGGGAGATGCTCCCATCCAACAGGCCTTGCAGGCCAGACTTGGAGGGGGATTGTAACCCTGATGGGGGGCTGACGCTGGGAAGAAGGGTCCTGCCACCTAGAGCCTGAGGGCATTTGGCCACCGCCAGAGCAAGTGTCTGACCTGCAGCATCCCTGCAGCACAACCAGGGCTTGGGCAGGGGCCTGGGCCGGGGGAGGGACAGATTGTGAACCACCGTGATGTTCCAGAGCTGCTGGTTGTGACTTCCCCGGGCCACAGAGTGGGGTGACGGGTTTTCCTTTTACCTTTCCCATTTTTCCTTATTTTTAAACTGATTGCTGTTTAATAAATTGTATTTGCTTTGAACTGTATGGAACGATCAGTGGGTCAGGGAAGCATCCAGAGCACAGAGAGCACCCCGGAGTGGGGACACCCTAGCCCCTGTCCTGCATGACCACAACCAGGTGGGGGGTCGAGCCCCCCAGGAATCCTGGGCCCAGCCTTGTTGGGGTTACGAGGACTCTGCCACACAGGAGAGTGAGAGGAGCCCTCGAGGTCAGACAGGCCTCTGGGTAAAGGGAGCGGGAGCGAGGATTCAGATCCTTTCGCTAGCCCATTCCACCGGGGTAGTGTATAAGCCAGGAAAGTTCCCCACAGTAGCGGGACCATTCCCCCACTTACACAAAGTCTGGTAGGACAGATAAGGGTGTCCAAGCAGAGTTCAATACAAACTCCAGCACCCTCTCCCTTTTCCTTGTGAACATTGCAGTGGAGCTGGGCAGCAAAGGGTGTTGCCTCTGAGCTTCATTTGTGCCCTCCCACCCCACAAATCCATCTTTTTGTCTGCCACTGGTAGTAGATGTTATATTCACCGAACCTTGATTGAATGTTCTCATAGACATCCCCAAGTCTGCATGAGGTTGTAGAGGGGAGTGGAGGGGACTGCTGCTGAGAATTAGGATTTGTGTAGTGTACTTACTATTTCTATATATGATTCCTTGTTCAGTGGAATCTTGGATGTAGACAAAGGGCCTGCAGTGCGCTGGAGTGTGGTTGCTTTCCAGGGGAGAAACTGTAGTTTTGTTTCATTCTCACTATTGTGCTCTCCCACATACACACACCCTGTAAGTGTATCGCTTTGTCCGATCCCACTCCCCTCTTTCTTTCCTATCCAATTTGCCTTGCTTATGCCCTCTCTCCCATTGTTTTCCTCTGTTCTCCCACTAGACCTTCCCGTAGCAAGAGAGACTGCGGCAGCCGGTGCTAGCCTCCACTGCCACCTCTCTTTTTCTCTGCCAGCAGTGTGGGAAGACAGGAAAGACAAGGAGAAGTAGCCTGGCTGCCTGGAACTGTGTCTTGACAGCAGCCCCGGACAGCCAGGAGAACATAAGAACGGCCATATTGGGTCAGAACAATGGTCCATCTAGCCCAGTATCCTGTCTCCCAATAAGGGCCAATGCCAGGTGCTTCAGAGGGAATGCAGAGACGAGGACAATTTTGAGTGATCCATCCCTGGTCGTCCAGTCACAGCTTCTGGCAGTTGGAGCATAGGGTTATATTCCTGATCATCGTGGCTAATAGCCATTATCCTCCATGAACTTATCTAATTTTTTCAAAGGAGGAGTAACTGCTGGGAAGATCTTACAGTCTGCTGAATGCGTGGGTTCTACCAGGGCTGTGGAAATGCAGGAGCAGGATAGACAGGGAGGGAGCAAATGTGGGAGTGATAGCTCACTTGTCTGTTGTACACATCCCACTGAAAATTCTTTAATTGTTTTTGAAGTTGGTTTGCATTTGTGATTGCATTGTAGCATTTATCCTACATCTGAGGAGATGAGCATATGTTTTTCAGAAGAGCTGGTGACAGTGCTGCGTCACTGGAAGTCGACTGGAGAGACTATTTGCATTGCTACTGTTCTATCCTTGTATTCAAGCAGTCATGAGATTTGGGTGGGATTTTCCTTCAACTGTGGAAAGATTTGGGGGGGGGGGGAGGAATCACCAAAGAAGGAACTTGTTTTGATGACAGAGGTCTAGAAAGCTTGTAACAGATTTAACTGTTGGCCTTATGCAAAGTCATAACTCTTAGTTTCTCTTTATCATCCCAAAGCGTTCCACACATTAATAATGGTTCAGATTTGCAATGAATTCTATTGAACACATTGGGCTATATATTGACTTTTCAAGTGGGCACACCTCCCCTTTGAAAGCAGTAGGAGAGGGTTATGAGTTTGTGTGTGTAAAAGATGCATTTTTATTCTTGCAAAAGTCAGTGGCTCAAGAATGGTTGTGGAGCTTGACTTTTCCAATGATGATGTAAAATATTATGCAATGAATTGTAAATATCAAGTCAAGCTGATTGTGGTATTTCCTAGAGGGAACCGTGTGGTAGAAATAAGTGATACAATGAACAAGTGATACAATGCTTTCGGTTCAACGTGCAATCTACTGGCTTCTTAAAATATTCTGTAATTATCACACTTTATAATGTAGCCGAGTTGAGGCAAAAGTTTTGCACTTGAGGTTGCTTTTCTGTTAGCCGAAGTGGGATACTAAGATACAAGTTTTCCCACATTTCGAAGTCAGTTATTAAGGTTTTCTATATAGCGTACAGAGGGTAGTTTAATTGGGTCTCTTTTTCAAGTTTATTTAATTAACCAAAAAGAGAATAGGGGTACTTGTGGCACCTTAGAGACTAACAAATTTATTAGAGCATAAGCTTTCGTGAGCTACAGCCCATTTCATTGGATGCATAGAATGGAACATATAGTAATATATATATACATACAGATAAGTTGGAAGTTACCATACAAATTGTGAGAGGCTAATTAGTTAAGAAAAGGATGACTTGTGGCACCTTAGAGACTAACAAATTTATTTGAGCATAAGCATCCGACGAAGTGAGCTGTAGCTCACGAAAGCTTATGCTCAAATAAATTTGTTAGCCTCTAAGGTGCCACAAGTCCTCCTTTTCTTTTTGCGGTTACAGGCTAACAGGGTTGCTACTCTGAAACCTGTAATTAGTTAAGATGAGCTATTATCAGCAGGAGAAAAAAACTTTTGTAATGATCATCAAGATGGCCCATTTAGACAGTTGACAAGAAGGTGTGAGGATACTTAACTTGAGGTAATAGATTCAATATGTGTAATGACCCAGCCACTCCCAGTCTCTGTTCAAACCAAATCTGACATCAGGAATCATAACATTCAAAAACAGGTAGGAGAACACTTCAACCTCTCTGGCCACTCAGTAAAAGATTTAAGGGTGGCAGTTTTGTAACGGAAAAGCTTCAAAAACAGACTCCAGCGAGAAACTGCTGAGCTTGAATTAATATGCAAACTAGATACCATTAACTTGGGTTTGAATAGAGACTGGGAGTGGCTGGGTCATTACACATATTGAATCTATTCCCTTAAGTTAAGTATCCTCACATCTTCTTGTCAACTGTCTAAATGGGCCATCTTGATGATCACTACAAAAGTTTTTTTTCTCCTGCTGATAATAGCTCATCTTAACTAATTAGCCTCTCACAGTTTGTATGGTAACTTCCAACTTATCTGTGTGTGTGTGTGTGTATATATTACATTACTGTATGTTCCATTCTATGCATCTGATGAAGTGGGCTGTAGCCCATGAAAGCGTATGCACCAATAAATTTGTTAGTCTTTAAGGTGCCACAAGTACTCCTGTTCTTTTTGCGGATACAGACTAACACGGCTGCTACGCTGAAACCTGTTAATTAACCAAGAGGCCTGAGCCTATTTTTAATGACTACATTCTGGACTTCAGAGTTTAGCAAAAAATTCCCCAGTAACATGTTCTAATTGGTGCAAAATTGAGTAAGAATATTCTTATGAAACATGCAGAGACCAATATTGAGAATTGTATTGCCTTTTAAATTAAATATGCCTAAATGTTGATGGCTCCAAGAACCCCATTTTGACTGGTTTGATGAATAATAAGGGATTTTAATTTAAATTTTCAAGTAGTTACAAAATCTACTTTTAAAACTTTCTGATGACACTTTTTGTCAAGAAAGCTTAAAAAGTTGCTGTGATTATTGGTTTGGTTTGTAAAAGCAGTGGAAAAGCCCAGATGATGTTCCCGTAATTTTAGTCGGCATCACATTTGTGGATTTTGAGTATATCATCCTCTCTCATCCTCCAATAAATTATGCCTTGCCAGGATCACCATAAACCCTGGGCCTAATCTAATAACACAAACAAGTATAGCTGAAGCACAGCACACAATTACTGCCAACTGACAGAGTGTCTCCTACAATTACTAAGGCGGCCTCCAAACAAATTCACCCACTCCTGTCTCTCATCTGAGTGCTGGGATGAGGTCCAAGCCCAGGTCTATTCCATCTATTCCAGTGAAAGTTTCAGAAAGCATTGATAATCCTTTCTAAACCAAGCATGAAACTAACTCTTCTAGTACTGAGCTTATGCTCAAATAAATTGGTTAGTCTCTAAGGTGCCACAAGTACTCCTTTTCTTAGTACTGTACAGTTTTTTATTTAAAAAATGGGAGAGATCAGTGCAGTCATATTTGCTGAAGAATGGTGACATGATTTCATTGTAAATACACTCAGAGAGCTTTGCACTGCAATAGCGTTTACATGTGTGTGGGTATTTAGTTAAAGCTATGCATGGATGATGTCTGTTGTGGTTTTGTTAGGCTTCCAGAGTAAGGGATTTTAGCACTTTAATCCTGAATGACAGTTGGAAGGTTGGTGGTTTCAAACAGTGGCACGGAGGGGCCTATTTTTCATCAGCAGAACAGTGCCCCAGTGTATCTGGACTGCCTGTACATAAGCACTAAATCTGTTTTGTTTTGTTTTTCTTCCATATCCCTCTCTCTCTCCCTTCTCCCCCTTCCTCCCTCCTCTCCAGGCCAGGACTCACTCCTATTGCTGAAAACTCTTCAGTCCCTCTGGACAAAGAAAGAGATGAACAAGGTAAGGCTGTATAGTGAACCTCCCCTTCACACTGGAGCTAATAATGGTATGCAAAACATGTCCAGCCTCAAAGCCCTTGGGTCAGACCCACAATTCTTCATGATGGCTTTCAATTCCAATACATAGGGGAAGGACCTACGGATCTGCAGTGTGAAGGGAAAATAAAAGGCAGCCTTGTCCAATGTGCAGCAGTCGTGGGACACACATACAAGGGCTGCAGTAGACAGGCTGAGTTGTTTAAAAAAAAAATCAAAGTTATCTTTTATTTTAAACATTTTTTGTTCAATTAATGTAGAGAGTAAGAAATCTGAAGATGTGAAGTACCCTGTCATCCTTATGCCTGGCAAGGAGAGTGTTGAAATCTCCTGCACATCTACTCGTGGGGGTTGGGGGTGCTTTTCTAAGTGGATAAATATTTAAGCCTTCATAGTTCATGATGTCTTTTCATTTTTGATTTTTGGAGCAGTGTGCTGCAATTTGGTTGGACAGTGTCTCTGTGAAATTATTGATATATTTTTAAACAGCCCTGTGTTTTCTAGGTGCCATGTATAGATTTCTCCACAGGAATGATACATACTTCATCTAAATTTGGGAACTCAGGAAATTAACAAAAAAATTAGACATACCTGGTTGGTGTTTAGCTTCCCGTGCTTAGCAGTCTCTGCTCTGCAGCCAGGTTAATAGCAGAAATGTTTTCCTGAAATACCTGGGAACTTGCAAAGTATGATATCGTTGTGTGGAATATATCCAATCGAATGTGCTAGTGTGCCCAAAGGGCCCTCGCCTACGTGCTACATCCTAGGGGTCGTAATTGCTCGGTCATCACACTTGATTGGTGCATTTAGACCTTCCAGCTCTTCTGGCTTGCGGTCCCCCAGCCTCAGTAATTGAACAGCTGGAAATACAACAATCAAGAGGTATCTTTTTGAATCATCAATTACTGACACAGACTAGAGCTCAGCAGTTCTGAAGACGGGGGCTTTCTATCAAGTTATGCTAGAGAAAGAGGAAAACATTAATTGTTAGGGTTTGAGGACAGGTCATTCCACCAGAACAACAACAGGGAAAAATAATCATCAAAATCTATACACTGTGCAAACTGGAATTTGGGTGGATTGCAAACCAAAATATTATGAAAAAGCCTCCCATTAAAGTGTCCTGGGCAGACTGTACCACATCTTTTTTGTAACTTAAGGGTCTCCATGACTCATCCCAGCCTACATAACTTACTCAGCAAGTCTCTCAGACTGCATCATCCCAGGAATGCAAGTGATTTCAGGTTATTTGCTGTGAACTGCTCCTGAATTACGCCAAAGGAAGACAGACCCCCTTACAGACTAAATGTTCATCGTACACGTGTGGGCTCATGACAAGCATGCACAGCCACATGGATCCCACTCACTACACTGACATATCTCTATATCTGCCAGTGCAGATGAACCACTTCTCTTTGAAACTGAAAGATGGGCCTCCAGACCAGTAGAAAAGTCATTTGTATAGATGAGGCAGGAGACAGGGAAGCATGGCAATGACGATGAGGGGTAAAATGATTCAGTGATTCTAATGTGGGGACTGTACTCTTGATGTCTGCACTGATATATGACAGACAGACAGACACACACACTTTTCTCTCTCAGCTGTCATCAGGTTGCTGCCACGCAACGGTACTAATCAGTTTTTTGGGGCATTTCCTACCTTCAGATATACAGTTGTGTCCCGTGTTGATGCCAAGGGAAACTTCATGCATTCATTTGAGAACAGAATAAGGCCCTGAATTTCTAACCACTCACCCCACCCCTATCTACCATTTGACATCATCACTGTTCCAGATAAAATAATTTGAAGCAAAGTGACCCTAACCTTGAATTAACAGTAAATGAGTAAAGTTAAAGATTAGATACATTGATTTCACCAAGGCGCCTATTGCTTCAACCGGGCACAGGGTGCGGTGGCTTATGTATGTGATTCCTGTCAGTGCTAAAGAGAATTAATCACTTCCATTAACCTCCCCCACCTCTCCACCCCTTGAACACTGATTGAAAAGTAGATCTCTACCTTAGGTTAGGACCCCAATTCTGGGATTTTAGAGACTTCAATGATTTGTACATAGAAGAGAAATAAACTTAATTTTTGAGTAATCCATCAGGATTAGCAGAAGGTTCTTTGCTTTTGTAACTCAGACTAATGGGCAAAAGAAAATAGACTGGACATCAGCAAAAGTTTCTTAACCATGAGGTTTATTAGGCTGTGGAATAGTCTCCCAAGGCAGCCTTGTCATGTGAATCATTGCTAGACTTGCCACATAATTGCAAATGTACTTTAGGGAAGAATCCTGCACTGGCAGAGTGATAAGCATGGTGACCTAATAGGTATTTTCATCTCTGATTTCAGATGTTCATTCATGTACTACTTTCTGCACATTACATACAATTATAGAATCATAGATATCAGGGTTAGAAGGGACCTCAGGAGGTCATCTAGTCCAACCCCCTGCTCAAAGCAGGACCTAATCCCCAACTAAATCATCCCAGCCAGGGCTTTGTCAAGCCTGATCTTAAAAATCTCTAAGGAAGGAGATTCCACCACCTCCCTAGGTAACGCATTCCAGTGCTTCACCACCCTCCTAGTGAAAAAGATTTTCCTAATATCCAACCTAAACCTCCCTCACTGCAACTTGAGACCATTACTCCTTGTTCTGTTATCTGTTACCACTGAGAACAGTCTAGATCCATCCTCTTTGGAACCCCCTTTCAGGTAGTTGAAAGCAGCTATCAAATTCCCCCTCATTCTTCTCTTCTGCAGACTAAACAATCCCAGTTCCCTCAGCCTCTCCTCAGAAGTCATGTGCTCCAGCCCCCAAATAATTTTTGTTGCCCTCCGCTGGACGTTTTCCAATTTTTCCACATCCTTCTTGTAGTATGGGGCCCAGAACTGGACACGGTACTCCAGATGAGGCCTCACCAATGTCAAACAGAGGGGAATGATCATGTCCCTTTATCTGCTGGCAATGCCCCTACTTATACATCCCAAAATGCCATTGGCCTTCTTGGCAACAAGGGCACACTGTTGACTCATATCCAGCTTCTAGTCCACCATAACCCCTAGGTCCTTTTCTGCAGAACAGCTGCCTTGCCACTCGGTCCCTAGTCTGTAGCAGTGCATGAGATTCTTCCTTCCTAAGTGCAGGACTCTGCACTTGTCCTTGTTGAACCTCATCAGATTTCTTTTGGCCCAATCTTCTAATTTGTCATACCATTTATCACTCCCTTAGATCATTAGCAGACTTAAAAGAGAGATTTTCCCACTGCTTAGAATATTTGAGTGATCCTTAATCAAAAATCAATCCAGACATATTGTCATTGCTGATCTTGCCAGTTTTGCAACTGTTCTGAGATATGTGTGTGAGAGTGAGGACTTGCTATCTTACAAGGCCATTGTGTTCTGTGGTGAATCTTGCCAAAGCTCGGATTCTGACTCCAGCCAAAGGAGATGCTGAGCTGGGCGGAGAAAGCTCTCGTTCAATCCCAAATGTGCTGAAGTGGGGCTTTGAAAAAAGAGACCATTTATACATAGTGCAGTTTATTTGGCTAGTCGCTTTGTTTTCCTTTGGCTGTTGTGTCAGATATTTGTGGTTGACGTTCCACTGTAGCCTGGCTTCTCCTTCTGCTGAATTTTGCAGTGAGGTTAGAGTCCTGTGTTTGACATCACAATCTCTTGCCACAGGGAAATATACTTAGGGAGACTTAGTTTAGCAGACTTTTGTCTAAACACACATCTTTGTTAGTCATCAGTATTCTTCTTGATGCAGTTGATAACCCAGGAAAGAGAAACAGATTTATATTTGTTATAGTCTCAAGGTTTTCCCAACATGAAAGGGGATACAGAAAATTACTGGCAAATCACACTGTCTTCCAATACATATTTTAGATTAATAAAAAGGGAAAAAAAACTGACTGGCATATTTTCTCTAGATGTTCTTTTGTTTTCCACGTCATTTTTCCGTCTTTTTTATACTGTTTCCATTGGAAACTGCAACTGGGATCATCATGTAGAATAAATTAGTAAAACTTAGAAGCAGAAATCAACACCCTTCAGATTTTGCTTCTTAGCCAGAAAAAAGAGAGCAGCTGCTGTTACTGAATTCTTCTCTTCTGTCTCTGCTCTCCCCTTGCTCCATGCCAGTACGTGCACCATGTGGTGAAAGGTACTTATGGGGCTACTGAAGGATGCCACTTCTTCTCCCTGCCAACCCTCTGAGTTTCTTGGAAACTATCCTCTAATGTAAACATTATAAAGATATTGCCTAGTACTGTTAATTTATCACTTAGACCAGATGGGTAGTAAGATGCCTATTAACATTCACAAAGTGAGCATTCAGTTCCTTAACTTTTTTAAACAGATCACCCTGAAATTACTTAGATTTATAACATCAATTTTGTCCATGTTCCAAACTTTTCATCTTATAACTTTAATGAGATGTCCACTCTAAAATGGCAATGGTAGCCTAAACCAAATACCTCACCCTTCTTTGGAGAAGGGGAAATTGAATTTCAGATAAGGCTATTTGAGTTTTCAGCAAGTCTGATGGTAAATGTTTTATCCTGTATTTAAAACCTTAACTATTTTAGTCTCAGGGTTTTCCACTCTAATGTAAGGTGTTGCATAATTGTGATTGCAGTGGTTATGTGATGAATATAAACGTTTACAGTGCAGGAATGGAGAGTTGTTTTTTTTAATCTGTGTTCTTATCTGTAGGTATGTTAGAAGTGTAGATAATAGGGTTTGTAAACCTGCCTGCCTTTACTGTCTCCAATAACACCCGCCTCCTCCAAATCCTAAGCCCCTTTGTCTGTCCTGCAGAACAACTTCTCTGTCTTTATGGGATAATTAGTGTGGACAATTGCTGCTTTTCCCATTGGGTTTGAGGTGCAGTGGGCCATGAAGGAATCTGTAATGACATGAAAAGTCACTAGAAGCATGGATGGTGGTTGAATAGCAACAGTTACCTCTCTGAATAGATTTAATTAAATAATAATAAAAAATCTTTGTGTTGAGCTGGGGGAAGGGAGGATTCACTAATCTATTTGTACATGACAATGTGTTTTTGTATCTCAGCAGCTCAAGGAAGAAACCAGGCGGGGTTTTGCAGCTCTGGAAGACCCATTGGCAGGACTCCTGGACATGCTGGAGAGCAGCAGTGACTGGAAGGGGAAAGGGCAGTCCCTGGGGTATTACATCACCAATGAGTTGCAACTTTGGATAAAGGAACATCCTGCTGTTCAGCAGGTTAGAGAGAGAAAGAGACAGAGCCTGGAGAAAAGAGAGAGGGATATTCATGCTCCCAAACTGTCTCCCCCTCCTCCAATCACTTTATTCCATAGTCCAGTTTCCATTAGTGTACCCACAAGCATAACGTGACCTGCTGATGGAATTCATACTGAGGTAGCATGTTCCAGTGACGCTGGCCTGAGAGTGAAACACCACCAATGGTGCTAAAATATCTTCCCATTTCCTCCCACTGCCTAGAATTTCTGTCTCCCCAAATCAAGCTGCCTTGCTGGAATATGGACCTTTCAGTCTTTTCCCTGGCTGGAGGCTTTCCCATTGGAACCAACATCCCATAAGCCCAATCACTGTATGCTCTTCCAGTTTTGCACATAGAAGACAATTACTGTATGATTATGTAACTCTGGCAATGTGGTAGCAGCTTCTGTCACTCAGAGTGCTGAAAGTGGTAACAATATGAATCTTCCTGGTAGCTTGGGTGATCAAGCTGAAGTTGTAGGGTCATCAAAGTAGTAATTCATTCATTTCCTTGGCCTGTTGCATTCTGATACCTTGAGATTTTTCCTTTCTCTATATTGCTCCCTGTGAACTTTAGGTGATTTTGTCTTTGTATTGTTTCATTTTTCATTTTTTTTTTCAAACTGCCTGAGTTTGCGAGTTCAGCTTCTCCATTCAGAGCCACGAGAACTCTATTTTCTGCCATTACAGTCTGTTGTAGTTGAATCAAACACAGGGTTGAGAGTCAAGAACTCCAAAGTTTTAATAGAATGATTATGTATGAAAGTATGTATTAGTAATTGTGTCATGACACCATCCTTTTGCCTCAGGGCCGCTCCAGGGCCTGGGAACAAGACTGGGAATAAAATTGAGTTCTCATGCATAGCAGGGAAGGGTTGCCTGTGGAGAGCTGGTGGATGCAAGCGCCACGAGGTTTGTTTCTACTGTGGGCACGTACCACAAAAGGAACCTCCTCTGACCTGGTTTCTTACTCTCGTGTTGAGTTGGAGGTGTGAATAGTGCAAGAAGTTAGCAAAAAGGGGTGTTCCCCCATGCTCAGATTAATGTTTGCACCAGGCCTCTCCAAGTTCTACTCCACCAACATTTAATATTGTTTTAACTGGCTACTGTGAAGTAATGTGTGTCATAGGCACCAACTTCTGCTGGCGCCGGTGGGTGCTCAACCTGCCTCTGCCCCTGGCCCGGCGCCAACTTCACCTCTGTTCTGCTCCCTCCCGCCTCTGCCCTGCCCCCATTCCAACCCCTTCCCCAAAGTCCCCACTCCAACTCCACCCCCTCCCTGCCCCATTGGACTCCTTCCCCAAATCCCTGCCCCAGCCCTGCCTCTTCCCTACCTCCTCCCCTGAGTGAGCCGCGTTCCCGCTCCTCCCACCTCCCTCCCGGAGCTTGTTACGCCACGAAACAGGTGTTTCGTGGTGGCAAGCGCTGAGAGCTAGTGGGAGAAGCAGGGACGCGCTGCGCTCAGGGGAGGAGGCGGAGGTGAGGTGGTGGGGGAGGGGAGCTTGGCTGCCGGTGGGTCCACCAATTTTTCTCTGTGGGTGCTCCAGCGCCAGAGCACCCACAGAGTCGGTGCCTATGATGTGTGTAGCGTGTTGCCCTGATTTCTGTGTCAAAGTTCAAGGGGGAGCTGGAGAACCCCTTTCCAATGCATTGTCTTGTCTGATATTTTAAAAAGCTACATTTTGGACTGTCATTGAATTCTGTTGGTCTTTATGAAACCTGTGTTTGACTCTGATTTCTTAGTCTGGCTTGAGGCTGAAGAAACTCCAGGCCCGAGTATTCAGAATACTAGCCCAGAGCCAAGTTAATCTCCTTGACCCGCTGATTGGCATTTTTCAGCTACGTACAGCAGACCAGAACAGTTTGCTTGGACATGTTGGTCATATTTACCACAAGGGCAAGTACAAAGAGGTGGGTCCTGATTTTCAACTTGATTTGCACACTGAGAGCTCTGATTCTGTTTGTGTCTGGGCCTGTTTTTCGTTATGTTTCTGTGTAAGTTCTATTTTGTAATGGCAGCAAGGGCTGTGCGTGGTGTAATTTCGTATGGTCGTTGTACTTGGTGATACTTATTTACTCTTCCTTCAACCTCATGCCTCATAGTGGGTGAGCACACAACTCCAGTCAAACCCAACTCCGTTTGTGAGGTTCGCAAGAATTTGGTTAATTTTTTGGGTACTTTATTTTGGGTGCTTAATAAAATAAAAAAATATCCCTTCCACATGTCCTGGTTTTGACCAGTAATGGAATATTGTGAGGGACATCTTTTGTGGTATATATCACCTGACTGAAAATCTTGCCAGCGAGATTCTCTGTTTCATGGGATTACTGAATCAAAGTGTTTTGACTAATTTCAAGTGTGATTGTAAATAAGATTTTGCTGGACATTTGAGGCTCCAGGGACACAGATGAGTTTTTCACTGCTATCTTTTGGAAAATGCAGATTCCTTCAAGCATTTTGAACTGGAAAGCTCCAAATTGTGTGTGAAGCTGTTTTTCTAGGATCCTTTCCCTGACTTGAGCACTCCTTGGGCAGGAAGAGTTGGCTCATAATCCTTTTTCCTTAAGAAGAAGAACCAAATAAGGTGTTTTTTCTCAGTGTTGTCCACGGGATATCAGAGCTATTTCATTTCCCTTACCCATATCTTCCTCCCAATTATAGTATCGCCAAAAGAACAAATGCAAGTGCTGGGCCTGTATGCTCCAAGACAGAGTAGAGTAACAGAATGTGACAGACAATCCTGGCACTAGGACTATGAGGCCTCTGCTGCAAGCCATGGTGAGGATGTCTACATTGTGCTTTCATAGAATCATAGAATACCAGGGTTGGAAGGGACCTCAGGAGGTCATCTAGTCCCACCCCCTGCTCAAAGCAGGGCCAATCCCCAATTTTTGCCCCAGATCCCAAATGGTCCCCTCAAGGATTGAACTCACAACCCTGGGTTTAGCAGGCCACTGCTCAAACCACTGAGCTATCCCTGTGCTGATTCTACTGTAGCCTTCTGTAGGGCTCCTTTCAGATGGGGCAGTAACAAATATTCAGATGTGAGCCTCTTCGCCCCCTTCTGTCCCACCTTAAGTCTTCGGAAGGTTGAAATCCTTCTAAATATTTGATATTATTCTCTGCTTTCTCCAACTTCTTGTTTAAACCCTAAGGGTTATCTATAGAATGGGGCACCAAGATTTCAGTCTTTACTCCAGAGAAATACACTCCCTTTAGGCCACTGGACACATTTAATATTCTTATGTGAACAATGCACAGTTTTTTCAGAGGTCTGCATCCTTGCCTCACATGTTCATGTCCCACCCCTCACAAATTGCATAAGAGAACAGTGTCTCTGCAGACAATGAAGTCCCTGATGTTCCCAGAGACTGGTGTGCTTGTTATCTCATTTACTTCTAAAGGAGAACTGATCCCTCCCATGGCCTTCAATATTAGAACTTCTCGAAGGCTGAACCAATTTATCTGTCAGAATAACAGTAATTTGTGCAGCTGAGCAAAGCATTCTCTTGGGATTTGTGAATTTTGGGTTGTCTCCTCCAGTGCTATTAGAATACTGTGGCTATGGATGGAAGTAGTGGGGGGATAAACAATAGTTATGGGAAGATAAATCTTGAATTATTTGGAGATAGCACCCTTTTGTTGTCAGATGCCACAGAAGTGAATAATTCCTGCTACTAAGAGTTACGAGCACTTCAGGAATGGAGGGTGTTCGTAACTCTGAAATGTTCGTAACTCTGAACAAAATGTTAGGGTGGTTCTTTCAAAAGTTTACAATGGAACATTGACTTAATACAGCTTTGAAACTGTACTATGCGGAAGAAAAATGCTGCTTTCTCTTAAATTTTTTAGTAGTTTATGTTTAGCACAGTACTGTACTGTATTTGCTGTTTTTTTTTTCCGGTCTCTGCTGTTGCCTGATTGCGTATTTTTGGTTTCAAATAAGGTATGATTGGTCAGTTCATAACTCTGGTTTTCGTAACTCTGAGGTTCTGCTGTAATAGTGGCAGGTAGTATATGCATTCTGTGAGGCACCCCTGGAGTAGGCGAGGATGAGATGAGCCTCACTGGCCACTGGATGGCACTAGTGCTCCCAAAACATACAGAGGGAGCTTTATTTTTCTGACTGTAAGTAAGGTGGCAGTTAAGGAAAAAGGCAGAAGTGGCTGTGTGGCAAGTTTCTGGATGTGTATCCATTCTGGTGTGAATGCAGTTGATGGCAGCTGCTGATGGAATGCAGTACTATGGTGTTGACAAAAAGGGGTTTTAAAGCTGACGATTAGAGTGTATGCTATTGTTTGGTAACGAGGGTAGTATCTAAGCAGAGGGATTTAAAATGTCTATTTATACAGTTCCAGCTGGGGTGCCTTTAGATATAGTTCCTGTTTCTTATATAGCTGCTTCATGAGCCAAGCATAGTTGCAAGGTGAGTTTCAGTAGTTGTCCTAAACCATACATTGAGCTATCTAGTGTTTGTGTATTAGACCGTTTTGTGTTCAGGCTGAGCCTGGACTAAATTCATGCACACCATGTGTTGTGCAGGACTCCAAGGCGCTGATAGTATTGTAGTCTTTCAGAACTGTCTTTCTTGAGCTCTCCATTTCGGTGTTGGTGAATGGCTTTATGAAAACCAAGATGGCCACCGGTATTTTTAAACAATGATGGAATTCAGCAGACCAGAGGCTAATATAGTACGATGCTATTCTGTGAAGAGACGCTGAATAGGCCAGGCTGTGCTTTAGAAGAATGAGGGGTAGGCAGAAGGCAAGCTAGTGTTTCATGGTCATCTTATGTTACACTTCAGCCTTTCAAAGAGTGTCTGGGGCTGGTTGAATGAACCTCTCCTGCACTCCAAATGCAGGAATCTAAAGACAAAGGAGACTCTTGTCACTTGCAGGCCCCTTTAGCGAATAAAAGCCATTGTCACATGAACGGGGCAGTCTGGCAGGCTGTGCATGCTTCAGTGCCCCATGATATCGCTAAGTCTCAGCAGAAATCACATTCAGTGCCCTGTCAGCTTTGATTAGCGGGGTCTCATGACTTAATGTGCTGCGATATTTCATGTCTAAGGGTGGCGGCTGTCTTTCTGGGGGATGAATGCGCTCTATTGTCCACTGAGTTATTTTATTTACATTTTTTAAACAGCTTATAAAGGTAAAAAGATAGCTGTGCTAAAAAAAAATCAAATTCCTTTGCCTGTGGATCAGAGGTAAGTGCTTCTCGGGTCAGATACAGTGAAACTTGTTTTCGCAATCAGCATCAAAGTTCTGGTTTTGTTTAACAGCTTTATATTAAATTCTGAACAGGTGGTAGTGGAGCTGGGTTTAGGAAGGAAACAATAAATAATCTTTTTAGCCTCTGACAACCAGAAATATTCCTGGGCTTGAGAGAACTCCCACTCAAAGCTCTCTGCATTAGAAATCTAGGGACTTTTTTCTTTTTCTGTTTGTTTTTTATACAAGAACATTGGGGTTAAGGTTTAGCAGGGATGGGGAGATAATTTTTGCATTTCATTTTTAACAAATAAATGACCTTCTCCTTCTGTATTTATTGATTTTGTACAGAAAATGGATTTCATAAATATATTGAATTGAGCTAATATTTGCTAGTTTTCAATAAAAGAGACAGATTTGTTAATTGTATCTAGGGCTAATTGCTAAAATTAGGAATTAGGTGATAAAGGCATTAAAATATACCATTTATTTATTTTAATCTTAGTGGTCTCTAACAAAAGCTGCAGTAACACAGGTTAGGGTTGAGAGTACATGTCAGTAATTTAGAGTAAAATACATTACTGGGATGGTTTAATTATTCCAAAAAACAAGAATGATAAACCCAGGAAATTCAGAGTTAGGGATAAACTTAAAATAAATCCAAACATGTTAAGGGTCTAGCAATTCACATTTCAGACAGGCAGACTACCTTAACTCAGCCCTCTAGTGATGCCTAATATGATTATGATTATAGCATATTCATGTTTGTAGTCTTAAATTTATTAGATTCAACTGATGTTAGAATATACATTATATTGTTCTTTTGCTATGGTGTTACTATAGGGCAGAGTTAAAGCTGTTTGGGTTCTCTAACTGACTTTCCAGATGTTAATATGTTTGGATTGCTTTTAAATTTAATCTTAACTGTGACTTTCCTGGGTTGCTTTGTGCACAATTAAAACATCCCTGTAATGTATTTTACCCCAAAACACTGATATGTTAACTGCATTTTAATATAGTTCTTGTGTGGAAATTTTCTTTTTTTAATTAAAAAATTAAGATGTGAACAATAAAAAAGAAACTCAATGAGGATGTTATCATGTGCTAAAGGAGTTGGCGGATGTGATTGCAGAGCCATTGGCCATTATCTTTGAAAATGCATGGGGATCGGGGGAAGTCTTGGACGACTGGAAAAAGGCTAATGTAGTGCCCATTGTGACGGGGCAAGGCCAGATGGCTATAGAAAAGTAGTGGGAGATAGATATATTGGCTCCAGGCTAAACAAATCCCTGGTACCAGGTTAAGTGAAATGGAAGCAGCTCCAGGTCAATTAAGACAGCTGGGGCCAATTAAGAACTTTCCAGAAGGCAGGGAGAATGCTAGGTTGATTGGGACACCTGAAGCCAATCGGGGCTGGCTGAAACTAGTTAAAAGCTTCCCAGTTAGTCAGGTGGGTGTGCGTGTCAGGAGCTGTGGAAGGAAGTTGTGCTGTTGGAGAGGCTGAGTAGTACACACCATATCAGGCACAAGGAAGGAGGCCCTGAGGTAAGGGTGAAGTGGAGCTTGAGGAAGTGAGGGCTGCTGTGGGGGAAATAGCCCAGGGAATTGTACATGTCATGTTTCTAAAAGGTCAGCTACCATAGCTGATACTATTAGGGTCCCTGGGCTGGAGCCCGGAGTAAAAGGTGGACCCGGGC